TAGACAATAAAGAGTACCGAATAACGAGACGAAAACGAAATAAGGGACATTTTGTATCCTAAAGAGAGACGTTGAGAATAAATTTTGAACGCTGTCGGGACATCTCCGACAGATAGTTTACATTAGAGAAGGCCATGAAATTTTAATAATAGCGCACGATGGCCATATACACACGTGCCCTGATGCTATACAGCGCCGGCAACAAAATCTCCAGAGAACACCTATAAAATACTCCTTTTTGCCGTACCTTCTAACAGGAACGGCTTAACGCCACCAAGAGATTTTAAGACAACTGTAACGAAACAAATGCTACTAGTTATTGAGTATAACTATCTCTTTTTTAAGTATACACAAATTTGATGCCAATTTTGTCTTTATTTTTACATACAATCGTTCACATGATTTATTTCAAGTAAGACGTGTCATTTTGCTAATTATTCTACAATCTAAATGCCTATTCCAGTTTTGTTTTAATCTTCGAAGAGAGAAGTCACACAACAATAACCGGATTATCAATTTGGTATTAATTAATGTTCAAGTTTTTGCTTTTTCGTGTTACTAAATTGATCAAAACTTTTTAAATAAGTTAGATTTTAAAAAACTTCGCTCCCCCATGGGGAGCGTAAAAAATAAGACGCCAGATGATGAAACTGGAGGTTTCTGTGAGAGTGGGTTTTTTGTGAAAGTGATAGTTTTTCCAATATGGAAAATACCGCTGCCGTCATGGAATTGGGAACAATAGGTGCTAAGGAGGACGAACCAAAACTATTTGAGTCAATAAATCCAGATAACTAATCAGCAAAATTTGGGTCGTTTGCCTCCTATGTTTGTAGGACATATTTTAGACAAAAATCTAAACGTACAAAACATTCAGGAAATTAGGGGAATTTCAAAGCTCCTCGTAAATATATTACTACTATAAATCTACTACGCTTTGGACATGCATGCTAACGTTGCCATTTATTTAAAATAAAAGTCATCGATGATAATAGTTGCAAACATTGCGGTAAGCTAGGTGATCTCGATCACATCTTCTTTGAATGTCCTAAATTTATTCAGCATTCAAACTCCCTGTATACAAAATTAACTAAATGCAATATATACGCTCCATATAATATACAGTCCTTGTTAGCCATAGGTTCTGTAACAATATATAATTTAATTATAGAATTTTTGTCAGACATATCCATAGCTTTATAAATCTGGTACTCGTTCATGGAAACTTTTATGAGCGTGCATAGGGTTAGACTTGTACCCGTTGTTTATCCTATATGTAACAATACCTTATACGTAGTCCAGTATTGTTTGTCTGTTAAAATAAGACGGACCCCTAAACGAGAAGCAAGTGTCCTTGTATTTTCCTTCGACGTGTTCTTCTATTAATTATTACTCTATTTCGTTTTAGGGATATCGCTGTGCATTTGTATGAGAGAAATAATCTGTACTTATGTGTATATACTTTCTTAAGGAATATATTATAACCTTTCGAGACTGGCTGAATGACGAAAGTCTATGCCACAAAAAAATGCCTATTTGTCAAGAAATAACACGGATAATCAAGTGTGATAAGAAAATAAACCAGTTTAATCATAATAATGATCTTCTCTTTCTGCAGTGAAAGCGAAGAAAACTCAACAACCGATAACCACGAATAGCAAGTCGTAAATAATATCCTCACCCAATAAAACATAACGCTATAGTAACCTAAACAAAAAAATCAACTAATAAATGCACATTACCTAACAATAAATGCTGCGAACCCCGATACTCGTACTCTTATCAGACTTAGATGTCTAAATGATGGAAATATAGTTCATTGCATACATTAAATGCGACAAGATAAAGATTACTGAGTGGTTGCAACGTCAACTGTTCAATTTCCGTGGAAGAAATAAAAAAAGCCTTACAAGTAAAGGTATACGGTTAACAATATAATAACTTTGTGGTATGTGGCGAGCATCTAATCTATTCATTACAAAAAACTGTAATAATGTCCATACGAAAAACTTACGGTACATACAAATTAAAATCTGGTGTTCTGCAGTGATGTCTACTATCATTATATTCAATATATACAGTGAACACATTATGCGTAAAGTTTTTAAATAATGGGGTAATGAGGGGGGCGGGCGAAAAATCAAAAACCTACGAAATGCTGATAAGACAGTTGTATTAGAGTCTCAGCAGGAGAACTGAAACAAATTATAATTAATTTGAGCACCGTGAGTACGGAATATGGTTTAAAAATAAATATACAAAAAACCAGAGTAATTATTTACTATAGAAACAAAAACAACCAAACAGAGATAAGAAACATGACAGTATACAAAGTGGTCAGCCACTTTAATTATTCAAGCTGCGTCATCAATAACAACTGGATGGAGAGTTAAATTGTTACCAAACTTTCCACATTAAAGGGAGGTGTTATTGAACACCCAATTGCTTCAAAATATTTATCAAGGACCACTGAAGCAATAAAACACTTAGACGTCTTTTTTCTTCGATTTATTTATAGTGAACTTATAGGGCTGATTCAACATTGATAATTATCGCAATTGTGATTATACTAAAAAGAGCTACACAAATATCATTAGCTTTACGTGCTAGGAGGCAGTAACAAAGATACATAGAGTTACAGAGAGAAACAAAACGGTTTACGGTTTAACACAAAACACCGGTTCTACAAGCGCATTTTTTGCTTACACATCACGCACTTTTGGGGATCGAACAGACTTGTCCGTCTTTACTTGCTGAGAGGCTATTTCGCACTGTTCTGGGCGTTCTTGTCCTAAGCTGTCACAGTATAGTGCTTTACAGTATAGTGCTTTAAAAAGAATCAGTAGGTTCACTCTACCGCCAATCCTTTGTTCTTCATGTTCCATTTTTTTCACGCGCATTAGCCCCACGCGCAGATAAATTCCAGTTTTTGATACACTGCTCAATATAATTTTTAATACACTGCTCGAAAATAAATAGGAAAAGTGTGACTTGTGGCGATCTAAAATTTAATTAGATTTTCGGAATAATGAATACTTTCCTAAATTTAGCGTTTTCGGCAATTATCAATAGTGTCCAAATAATTATTACTGTTTGTCCTTCAAAATGTTTTATGTTGAATCCATCAGTTTTGATTAATCGAATATTAAATTTTCTGTATTCATTAGAAAATCACGCTGTATTCACTGTTACTGGTGAGAAATCTTATAAAAGGAAGAGCTAATGAGGAAACTAATTTCTGTAGATGAAAAAATAATAATACAATCGAATTATAAATTATATTTTGAGGATTTGAATTTTACAATACCAGTTATAATAAAAATAGGATTATAAAAAAAAACAAGTAGCGAACTATGAATACAAGTTAGAATAGAATAGATATTTTCATAATTACAGTAAAACCTCCATTAACCGAAATAATTGGGGGGAAGCCGTTTCGGATAACAAGAATTTCGGTTAAAAATAACAGTTTTTTATAGTATATTTGGTCAAAGTATTAGTATTAAAAAATACTGTTAGGTGATTTTGTAATGTTTTCTTATAAGTAAATACAGAATAAAATAATAAAATAAAAGAAAATAAACAAGTTTAACATGCTTTTTTAAAGATCTATTTTCTTTTGCGTTTTCATTCGACAATAATGTTTTGAAGCTATATCTCTCAATCGTTCATTTGCAGAACGCCATAGTTTGCCCCATTTGATTGTTGGACGAAACGTAAAGCAATCTAAAAAGGACAAAACTTTATGCAACGACAATAAAAATTAAGAACCTAGAAATATCTCTAAGGCATTGAAAATCTCGTCGCGGTCTCGTGCTGCCTGTTGTCTGGAAGTTGGGTCGTCATCTGATGTTGTCTGGATTAAGAACGATATAGCACATATACCAATAAACAACATGTTTCATTGTTAAACATTTGTGATTTTCGGGAACACTGTTGGATTCATTCATCTCCTGTAATAACAGATGTCTTAAGAATGCTCCTCTAAAATGTCTCTTGAATGTTTTTATTGCTCCCTGGTCCAACGGCTGAATTAAGCTCGTGACATTCGGTGGCAAAAATCTGACAATTGTCACCATTTTGTAGATTTTGAAGGTGAGTTGGTCTACATCCATGAGGATTATAATTTTGGATATCCCCATAAAAGGCCTATTGAAAGATTTGGTTTTACTGAATTTTGAATTCATTAAATTGAAAATTTGGCTTGTTTTTTTCTATATATGTTATAAACTTAACGGTTTTAACACTGTTATTGGAAGTTTTTGTATATATATATATATATATATATATATATATATATATATATATATATATATATATATATATATATATATATATATAATATAAAGTGCCTCCGAATGTTTTTCCGTGCCCCGAATTGGGCCGCAGTCAGCCCCTGCTGACTGCAGCCCCAATAAACTTTGTTGTAAACAAACAAATACATATTGTTCTGAAGCTATTTTCTTGTGGCATTGTAAATTAATTACTATTTATAACTGGGAATAAGCCACATTAAAGATAAAAATACATTTATTGACGTTTCAATTTCCAATTCGGAAATCGTTCGAGAACGATTTCCGAATTGGAAATTGAAACGTCAATAAATGTATTTTTATCTTTAATGTGGCTTATTCCCAGTTATAAATAGTAATTAAACAAATACATTTTTATACTATATCAAATATAATATAGGTATTTAATTCTTAAAATAAACAACTTCGAACTGAACAAAGATTAGATATAAGAAAGATATAAAATAAAATACTGAAATTATAAAAATAAAAAATTGGAAAAAAACAGCATAAAGTCCAACATACATAATGAAAATATTCAATATTGTATTTACATTCTAATGCATAACCATAATAAAATGTCTCCTAAAATTTAAACCTCGTTCCACATCATTAACGTTTCTATTTACTACATTACTATTTTCTAGAAAATCATCACTATCATTATTTTCCTGTAAACATATATTGCAAAGTACTGCTGTACCACTTATTATGCAAGATATGTATTTAATTTGGTTTGTAGGCCTCATTGGAGACAGGGGAACCATATTTTCCAGGTTCCAAATATCCATTTGGCAACATTTCTTACATGTGCACTATTATTATATCTATTTTGTTGATCATTGCCTAAAAAGATGTATCTATCAAATAACCTATTTTTTATTTACCCAATTATCAATAAATACCTGACTGTAATACTGGAGTAAGTAGATAGTGACTGCACTGCATACATATTCACTATTCATAATAATTCTGGAATTTGTCCTCTTTCCATTCTAACTTTGAATCAACTGTGATCAAATAATAAGCCACCAATACTTGATCCTGGATGTTGAACAACAATATTAATCTCAAAAAACAAAAAAAAAATATTGTATTGGAAATATTGATAAATATAAACAAACAAGTTAGGTTAGGATCCCGTGCTCAAGGCAGGTCGATCCGATGCTTGAGTACGAGCTGTCATTTCTGTGTACTCAAGCTCGACTTCGAACGGTTTATAGAACACAAATTTGATTCAAGGTCGACCTCAAACATTGATCCATACTTGAGCATCGACTATAATATGGGCATAAAACGCCGATATAATAATGGACAATGATTTAAAGCGAACTCTTTCGTTAGTATTAGTGCTTGTGTAAATATTCTCTCGTTATTAAATGTGTAGATTGGATGAATTACGCTTTATTTTTCTCTAAGTACAACCCCTATTAAACCAAACACATAAGGAACCATCGCCGTGAAGTTTCTTTGCCTAATTGTTTGCTGACAATTAGCTGAACCTAGTAATTTTCATATATATATATATATATATATATATATATATATATATATATATATATATATATAAATTCGGAACATAGGAAACATCATGTATTTCGGCTCATTTCTGCTGTAGGAGGTTGGCCAACAAAAGGTTGTCAAATAATTATATTATAAAAACCCAATACTTCTGCGGGCTGCTGGATTCTGAACTCATAAAAATTGAAAGCTACACATAAATCTACGATTTAATTATGCTGTCAAACCACTTATAGTCCTGGAAATGAAGCATTTCACCTCGTATTTTTTTCGTCCTGCGTGGAATAACTTGAAATTTTAACAGAAGGTAGGTGAACTTTTAAAAATTATTTTTTGCCAATGCAAAAAAGGATGCAGCGTTTCATGTGGGTGCAGAAAAGTTGGTTTATACTGTAACGTTTCTTGTTCTGGGTGCTCAGGTGAAGGGTGCAATAGTAGTCCACCAATAATTGAAGAAGATGAGGATGACATAGATCACGATGAAGATGTAATTGATGACGAATAAAATTAATATTATAATTGTTTTACCTATAAATGTAAATATTTTCAACTATTTATGTAAATGTATAAGAATACATATATGGATCCTTTTTATGTTGATAAATTTTTTTGTATTTGTATTTATTAAATTAGTTTATAAACTGCACCCTTTACAACTGATGTTGTAAAGGGTGATTTTTAAAATTTGAAAAGTTGCAAAATTTTGGCAAAAAATTGTTTTTACCTATAGCACTCATAACAATTGATTTTTAAGGGTTGAAAATGTATGAAATTGTATTTTAAAGTATAAAAAAATCACTATTTAACTAATCCAAACCAAATTTCACTCATATTAAGATTTGTAATGTTATTTTACAATTTTTAAAAATTAGCGGTAGTTTTCACCCCTAAGAACAATCAGGGTTCATCGGCATGATATAAACTATAAAGCAGAGGGTGAGTTAAGCTTAATTCCAATTTTTTATGCAAATCGTTCCAAGGCGAAATCATTTTCTTCGCATTACTAATTTTTTTACATTAATCTCCCTTTACAAGGGTCGCTTTTTAAGGGTTGAAATATGATGGAACTTTATTCAAAAGCACGAAACTATCATTATTTAATTAATTCAAATCAAATTTTACCCATATTCAGGTTTAATATGTTATTTTATAATTTTTGACAATTAGGGATAGTTTTTACCCCTAAGAACAATCAGGGTTCGTCTACATGACATAAACTATAAAGCAGCGGGTGAATTGAGCTTAAATCCAAATTTTTATCCAAATCGATCCAAGGCGAAATCATTTTTTTAGAATTAGTAATTTTTTACATTAATCTCAATTCATGCAGGACGAAAAAATTGCGAGGTTTTAACTTTTTTCGAGCTTCATTTCCTGAACTATTAAAAACTTCCTTAGACAAGCAACATTGTTACACAAACAACATTGTTGCGAGACAGATAGTTGAACGATATTTTATACAATGTCCATACCCAGGTATGGATTTATTTTTGTCCAAGTTTTATATTGGTCCACTATTTCAACTGCTGTTCAAACAGACATATATATTAAATTGTATGTTCCGTTTTAAATTCGTTCTATCTGTATATATATATATATATATATATATATATATATATATATATATATATATATATATATATATATATTTTTTTTAATTTCAAAACTATTATGTTTAAATACTTTATAAGTATATTAATAACACAAATAAAATTAGTTGTATTTTTATATTGATTTTATTCTTTATATTTAAAATTATGTGAAACCAACTTGGTACAATATTTTAAAACTCCACCTATAAAAAATAAAATAAAAATAAATAAATTTGATCTATACTATACTCGGGTATATGCAATTTTACGAGTATGTACATGTTCATTTTTGAACTGCATAAAATATAAAAGAAAATGCTGACATATTGGTGATGAGATACGAAAGATATGACTTCTGATATATCCCATATCTTTCTTTAGAAGTGGCGTGTTTCCGACCGTCTTGTGTTAGACCCTACCATCGTAATTTAATGTTTTATGACTATTTGACATTGCCGAAGTGACATTTTTAAAGCCCTACTAAATTCACCTATGGTAAAATACGTGGCTGGAGCTCTGCGACGTTGTTCACTTTCAATATTAAAAACGTTTTTAGATATCAAAGTGTAAATTATTAATGTTGGTAAAAGGTTTTATAAATAAAAAATGTAGTGTAGAATTGGTTCTCTAATCTTTTGTTTAATTTCTTATGTAGAATTTTGTTAATTAACTTAACTGAGTAACTATTTTTTAAAACAATTTATTATATTGTATTTAATTCTTTGCTATATTATTGAAGTGTTTACTGTCAAGTTATGACGCTCCAGATAATTGTAAAAAGCAGCCATATTGAAAAGATTGGTAAGGATTTGCACTGATAATTATACTTGCATGAGTTGCGTTTCTACGAACATTAAAGGTACTCCTGTTGTAGAGAATACATGTTAATAAATCTACGAATATAATAAAATTGGTTAACCAAAAAATTAAACCTAACAACCTTATAGTCACCAAGGCGGATAAATGTTCTCACACAACATAGAAACACAGAATCGTAATACACAGAAGAATATTATTTTGTTCAAAAGAAAATATTTGTACATCTTATAGTGATAAGCTGCTTTGTTTTGGATAATTTTGCAATAAAAATGTGACAAATCTTATGATTTTAACGTACCCCAGTTTAAGAAAATACATCAAATTTAGTTAGTAAATCTCGAGAAATGTCATTTTTTTCCTATTGTTTTATTTTAAACCCGTGTTGGATTTTTTGAAGAGCTCAGCAGTCCCTTCAGTCAGCATCCCTCACTCTTTTTAATTTAGTCAGAACGCAAAGTAGTTTTTGCCTACAACACTCTGTTTGAAGAATTTTTAATAATTTCGTTTGAAGATCATTGTTTTTGCCTATAAGTTGTGTTTTTTAACCAGCTTTCCAAATATATTTTTTTCTTTTAATTAGAACGGACTTATTGTAAATGCTTATAAGCTTAAAAAGTGGTATTTATTATATCATTTGGTGTACATAAATGTAATATTTTAAAACTATTTTTGATAGGCTATTAGTATACTTCGTAACGAAGAAAAGAAGCTAATTATTGAGATCCATTCCATTAAATTATACGTACCAGCCTTAGAAATTAGTTGATAAAAAAAATTATTAACAAATTAAATTTTGCCAAAACTATTTAACCGGCCTGGACCATATTTTGCATATAATTCAAACACGACAAAATCTTCCAGTTCAGGTACACTTAAACAAATTTTAATTAATAATAAAAAACGGGTGTGGCAGTCCAGTTGGACTGCCGGTAGAAGTTATTCTTCTATACACGCGTTCGCTGTTACAAATTTATATGGTAGTCAATCTACACAATCATTACATATGCAATGGTATAGATAAGAGAGCAGAAAAAGAAAAAGAATTAGGTATATAAGTATATGGTGCATCGTTTGCTGTATATAAACATTTGACCTGTAATAGGAGTATAGTAAGTGAAGGATTGAATCAATATTTTAATCCAAAAATATATTTTTATTTTCATATATTTATAAAAGGAGTTGGATGCAAAAAAAATTTTTTACACATACTCTGCAGTAAAATTGATTGTGTATTTTGTTATTAATATAAAAATACAGTACAATACACTGCAAGATAATTCAATATAATAATACAATATACATAACTTACTTACGCATATGTTTAATTTACCATGATAATAATATTAATAAAAAAATAATAGTATTAATAAATATTAAATATATTAAAAAAGGAACATTTTAATTCTCGAGAGAGAAAGAGAGAGAAAATATATCTACTGTCTCTCTCTATCTTACGTATGTAATGATCTTGCCGATTTACTCCCGTACAAATTTCCAACGTCGAACGCGCGTATAAAAGTATAACTTCAAAAAATGTTGGTGGAAGATAAAAATAAAAAACCAACAACTCGGATTATATTGTAAATTTTCATTTTATTTTAAAATTTAGCGTTTTTGCGTATATTACATATATTTAATAGGATTAACGTGTGGTCTTTAATAATAGAATTAGAATATTAATATATATATATATATATATATATATATATATATATATATATATATATATATATATATAATATATATATATATATTAATATTAATATTCTAATTCTATTAGAATAATGCTACCTAAAGTTAAAATGAAATCTTAATTATTGATTTACTGTTGGAAGTGCATTCTTGGATCTTTTAGTTCTTTTCCACACTAATTTTGTTTTTTATATATGATAAGTTTTTACCTATTATTTTTTTTACATACATGTACAACTACCACATGTTTTTTTTGCTGTGCTAATTTTATGAAAATTGTTCAGTTCAATCTATTGTTTACACAACATAATTATACAATGTCCA